GCAGTGGAGTAAATGGATGATCGAAAGTGCTTCAGCTATTGGTAGTAAGCACTAGGATTGTACCAGATATATGGAAGCATATACGGGTTGGATGCCCGTTGAGGTTGTGGTAATGTTGGATGATGCGCAGGCATGTTTTCGGTCTCCTTGGAAGAGGAGGAGGATAGTGGTTCCAGATCGGCGAATGGGACAGAGGAAGGTGATTCAGCAGGATAACAGACTCGGGAGCAGTCTGGACCTGTGCTGAGGACTGCATAAGGATATTACAGTCGGAGGTCAAGGACCTAGAGATCGCGATAGGGAAGTGTGAGTGGGTTATACTCAAGTGTGGCGAACCGGAGAGTTCGAGGGGGGACGCAAGGACAAGGTCCTTGGTTCCGAGTATGGTTTTGGGTTTGAGTTATGTATGTGGAGGTATTCCAATATGGGGTATTCCATCATGAGGATGACCGAACCCTATGATTGATTGGACCTGATGTGTTTGGTATTCCAACCCGAGGGTTGATTGGGCCAAACATGGGTAGGGATACGAGGGTATTCCATCCTAGGGATGAGCGTACCCGTCGTAGGCATGCCTGGTATTCCAGCCGGAGGCTGATTGGTCCAGGTGTGAGTATTGGTTTTGGTAAGGGTATTGATGTATGTACGTTTGGGTAGCCAGAGTTGACAATTGGCGATTTCGAGGGCGAAATCATATTTAAGTGGGGGAGAATTGTAACGCCCCGTTCTAAGAGTAATTATTCATGGATCCCCGAGATCAAGAGTAAGGGCGTTTCGGTCTTTTATGGGCAATGGGTTTTATTCGAGAAGGTTTCGGGTCGGGGTGTGTTGCTAGAAGCGTAGGGCTTCTCGCCACCTTTTCGTGGATATAAAGTTCGTCGGAAACGGGCTTAGAATAAAGGAGTTATGACACTTTGAAGATAGTGTCAATAATGGTCCCTAAAGGAAATATTTGGCAAAGGGGTCCTAGGCATGCATGGAGTGCATGCGTGTAATTGGCTGGGTACGCCCAGCGTAAGCTAGGTTACGCCCAGCGTAGAGCGGTTAAATGAACGCGGGTGTTGGGGCCCAGCGTACAGGATGTACGCCCAACGTACGTCCAGCGTTTTAAAGTCGTGAGGGCCGCAAATCCCATAAGAACTCTGCAGTTAAGCGTGCCTGTGCGAGAACAATTCAAGGATGGGTGACCCATGGGATGTTTTCGTGCCCGGAGCCCAAAGCGGACAATATTGTGATACGTGCCAGAGGGGGATGTTACAATCTAACGACGTAGAAAACCCCATGTTGTTTTCCCTCCCAGATATCGCCGCCAATGAGTACGTGTCGCCGCTAAAGGCCGTCGACAATAAAATCCTCTTCGTTCTCACTTTCTTTCCCGATCTTCTGTGTTTTCCCTTCTTCTCTCTGCTCACCATCGTCGACCTCATCGGAATTTCCCAAAAAACTTTGCAACTTCACCCCTCTCTGCTCCATTTTTCTCCTTTTCTTTTATGTTTGTAGATATGGATGTGTATTTGTATGTATATGTGTATTTTGAATGTATTTGTATGTGTATTTTATGTTTGTAGATATGGATGTGTATTTATATGTGCATTTGTATGTATATGTGTATTTTTAATGAATTTTATGTATGTATAGGTTATAACGAGAACAAAAAAAGGTTGAGAACGCGAGAACAAGTATAGACCAATCATTATGTAATGAAATAATATGAATTTTACCATTTAATTAAATATGAGTTTTCTTAAAATTAAATGATTCCTATAACTTCTAACCACTTATTCCTTAATTTTAGCTATTATGATAATTTTTTTTTGGATAATCATAGAATAAGGCAAAAAAAAATGTTGATGTAAGTATGAATGATGCAATAACGTGAACATAATCACATGTATTCTTTTTGTTAATTATTTTTTTATGATTAAACAATATGTACGTAAATATATTACTGATTATACAAGACTAATATATTTACAATTATAGTTGAATAAAAGTAAAGTATTAATTATAAATGAATAATTATACTACAAATGAATCCTTACATTTATATTGATACATCAATATTCATACATGATTAAATCATTTCTAAATCGACACTTTGTGTTTATACATGACACTATATAGTTTTAATACATTTTCAATCATAAACAAAAAAAATACAAATTCCCACAATCGATGATGGACTCTGGGTTCGATGAGGCCGAAGAAGGGGATTCGGAGGAGCAGTGGCGCTACTGTGGGGTCCGTGAACCCGAGTGAGAAGAGAGGAGCGAACGGGGAGGAAATCCCGGCGATTGCAGGTACGTGGACGGAAGTATGCTCCGGTAGCCTCCTGTTCTTCTTTCTCTGGTCCGGTAATGCAACAACTAGGGGAGAGAATGGCAACAAAAGACTGAAATTGGGAAGTGTTTGTTTTTCTTTGTTTGTCAGGAAAGGAAAAACACGAAAATGGGGTTGTTGGCCATTGTCACAGAAGGGAGAAAGGAAGCAGCAAAACAACAAGTATGTGGGGGACAAGGGTCTCGATTCTTGACCGGTCGAAGGAAGAGGAAGTTAACGAAAGCATCCATGGCCAACAGGTGATCTTCTTCTTCGTCTTTTTTTATTTGAATCCATGTAAATTTGGATGTTTGGGTTTTTCTGAAAAAATTTATGATAATGGATGCGATATAACTCATGGTTGTTTGGGTTTGTTTCTTGAATTCAAGAAACTGAATTGGTAAGACTCTCACTGATTTTTTTTTAAGAAACTGAAGAAGCACACCACGTGTTCGATAAAATGCATAGTTGAAATCTAGGTATTTGTAACTGGAAAACAAAAGATTGTTTATGTGATGTAGTAACTTGTGCTTAACTGTAGAAATTATTTACCTCAATCCTGAAAATAGATTTTACATCCAATTGCTTTTTGATCTTGAATTCCTTTGTCATCTTAAGCACTGAATTGCCGTAACCAATTCTGTGAAGTTAGAATATACATCATTCTTTTTATTCTAAAACCGCATCCTTTTTTATCATAATGTGGTTGCTTGTGTCGTGTTTATTTTTCAGATGCTAAGTGTTTTATTGGTAGGACTCAATGTTTTGTTCCTTGGGTATATTCTTGATAATACAAATTCTTTAAGAATATTCAAAACCATTCTGCAAGAATAGTTTATTCTGTAAAAATATTATTGATGTATTCTGATAGAATTGTAGTTAATTAGTTATATGTTTAATGTGCAGTTGTTACAAGTGTATCACTATAAAATATTTGGCAATGAATTTGTGATAGAAATGGCTTGAAAAATGGCTTGAAGACCTGATGGGAAAGACTCCTTGTATAAAATTATTCTCATGCAATACAATTCTGATAGAATGTCAATCTCACAAAATGTCAATCTCATAGAATGCTAGCATATTTTGAAGTGGCTTAGAGGTCAAACATACACAAGACATCTAGAAACGAAACAAGAAAGTGAATGAGGATTCTTTAAAGATTGCCGATAGTTTTTTTGCAAGAGATTTCAAGAATGAATATAGTTTATGTTCATAGTTGTATTCTTTAAGAATGAATGTAATTACCTATTCTAAACTATTAAACTTCGTCTTATATAAAATTTGTATTCATTAAAAATTATTGGTGTTGATAATATCTTTTTATAATATTATGTTTATAGTTGTATACCATTCTAACAGAATTACAGAATATCATTCTAACAAAATAACATTTTGATAGAATAAAATCGGTTTATGTTTACAAATTACGTTTGAAATTGAATTAATTTGAAAAAAACAATCAGATTTTTTAGATCAAAATCATTAAGTATCCCATAAATCTCGATTTTTCCTTTTTTAAATTTGTCTCAATCGACTACAATGCTCTTATGCTGAAATTTGTGTGATTATATGATACATATTACTATCTTGTACTATCATAGACCCTCAGATATATATATATATATATATATATATATATATATATATATATATATATATATATATATATATATATATAACAATAATAAAAAGTTCCAACCTTTCATATAATATATACAAGTTTTCAGCATTAGAGACACCAAATTAAAGTCAATGTGATGATAGCGTAGACGTGGTTTGCAATGCATGTAAGCAATTTATAACAGACAAATTAAAAGCTGCTAAAAAGCTATAAACAAAAAAATTAAACAAAAGTTTCGGTTTTACTCAACCTAAAATACGTTAAAGGGTAAAACCAAAGATTTCATGAAAACTCAAGGACTTTTATGTCATTAGCCCTATTAGCTAAGAGGGGCATAAATGAAAAAATTAAAGAATACTTTTGATTTTACTGAACCGAAAATACATCAAAAGGTAAAACCAAACATTTCCTGAAAACCTAAAGGCTTTTATATTATTAGTCCTATTTATAAACATATAACCCAAATATAAAAGAAAGAACCAAAAGGTTGCACGCCCATTATTATGCCGATCTATGAATCTGAGGAAAAAATTTAATATCAGACTAAAAAAATCGGAAGTAATAAAATAATAATGTAAAAGATTTGAACCGTTCACTAAAAAAAAATTAAAACAAAATATTAAAATATTAAATATAAATTGCAACTAATAATATAATAATTATATTAATATAATAATTAATAAATAATAATCATTAGTTGGAAGTAATAATTTAAATAAAAAATGTATATATAATGTTAATCTATTAAGAAAAGTAAAATTAACTATTAATTATTAATAATTACTTTTACAAACTACAACTAATTACTTATTAGTATTTAATTTTGCAATCTGCTAGTAAAATAATTATTAAAAAGATATGGTAAGTAAAAATGCAATCTGATAAATTGGAAGTCAAGACAACACTGCACAGACAAAGTTCAGGAAATGAGCAAGAAGGGAGGATTTCTTAGGCGGCTATAGCTAACAACTGCGCGCCACACTCTTTTCTTACCAATTTCCTTTACTCGGACTATATCGTTGACTAAAACAATTGGTCAATGTTTGAACAAACCATTGGGGAATGATCGTGTATAAATAGATCCTTCATAAGTGGTTACTCACACATTCATATTCATTCAATCATTGAAAAAAAAATGGCCTCAATCTTAAAAGGAGGAAGACTTACCCTGGCTCTTATCATCCTCATCGTCATTAGTTCATCATCTCACATCATTACAACCGCCACTGCTCGGACTCCATACAATCATATCCGCCAACTAGGTTCGGTTTTCTCTAAACATCTCACAGTTACTAATAAATAAACGCTAATAGAAGCTGCTCCAGTATTTCTTATAAATTAACTAAGGTTGCATTGTAAATACGTGTAGTTAATTTTTTTTTTTATTTATAAGAAAACAGTTTCATTTTATCTTACTTTTGGAGTTGTAGGGTTATATTCTTCTGATTTTGTTTTCTATATTTATTTCATTCGTGTATTTAGTATCAATCGTCTATAGCTAGCTAATTTGTTTTCCATACATCACCTATTTCCAGATTTTCTGAATTCTGATCAAACTAACCTTATATAAGAGTGCGTATGAACAACTTGTCTTTCCCTAATTAAAGATTAAAAGTATTTGAAATTGATGTATGCAGCTACAAATTGCGATTATGACCCTATACAACAACACGATGGACCCGACGGGTGTGGTAGTGGAATTGGAAGTGGAAGTGGAAGTGGTGGATCACCAAAACCAAAACCAATACCATGCGGTTCAATGCCAGGTGGGAGCCTTTGTAAGAAGGGTTGCTGTGGAAAGACTAAAATGGGAAGGGCCGAATGTTGCTAGTAGTACCGGAGGTTGTACTACATCAAATAATATATCTGAATCCCTTGTTTAGATCAGAAAATAATATTTAAAATCATTTCCACCCTGTGCTTTTCCTTAAATTCTATATGTATGTCCACAAAAATTTTATATCCAGATAATGTTGTTCGAATCTCGAGGAAAAGATTCTATCATTATATTTGTCAAGATGGTTCACAAGTTTAATTAGTAGAAGAAAACAAAAATCAAACATGGCTAGCTAACTTTAACTTGCACAAGTGGCATGAGCTTCATCCAGATAACTTTAGATCCCATATCGACCTGAAAATGTTGGTTAATTTAATGCTGAATCAAGATGGAAATATGGGTTGTTTGTATAAGGCCAATATCCTAAGACGGAAACTAAGCTTTAAAGGCTAATCATGATGGTGATGTGTCGATGAGCTATAGGAAGGAACGACTGTACACACCATCATGAAGGTTGACCGGTTAAGCAGTTAGAATTGTAACAAATTGGTAAAACGAGTGTCTAATTTAAGATTAAAAAAAATCAGTCTCAAAATCAGATTTTTATGAAAACTTAATTACCATAATTTGCAATATTTAAAATTTTGAGAACATAAATATCAAGTGTTGGGTTGAAAGTTGAAACCATAACGATAAATATGACTTAATGTCGATTTGAATGAGTAATTGAAGTTGCAATGTAACATAAACAAAGGACATTAATAGAAACATGTGCTCAAATACACATCATTTAGAGTTTACGCAAAATCAAATGAGCCCCAAACTGAGGTTGAAGAGTGACAATGGTATGTGGAGCATGTGAATAGGAGGGCGAGAGATCAAAGCAAAAGTGTTGCAGAATCATGGCGAGTGCCATTTTTGCTTCTAACAAAGCAAAATTCAGTCCAACACATATTCGTGGACCCCCACCAAAAGGGATATATGATGTTTGTCCCTTGGTCACCTTCGAGACACCTTCAGAAAATCTTTCAGGCTTGAATTCGCTCACATCATCACCCCATATATCACGATCATGGTGCATAAGCATAATCTGCAACTGGAGGAAAGTTCCAGCTGGTAATTTTATGTCCCCTAATTTGGTTTCCTCATGTGTCATTCGTCCTAGTCCTACTGCTGGTGGGTATAGTCTAAGAACCTCATGCAGAATCATGTTAACCTGCAAAACATAATTGGAGAGAAACGAATATATAGCTTCATAGGAGGATGTATGGTTTTATAAAGGTTCGCTTTCTGGTTTTTCATGCCCAAATACTTGTGAAACTTCTTCTCTGGCACGCTCTTGCCAATTTGTGTGCTGAGCCAACAAAATCATAGTCCAAACTAGTAAGATTCCAGTGGTCTCTTGTCCAGCAAAGTAGAAAAGCTTACACTCATCGATCACTTCATCAATGGTTAATCCAGAATTCTTATTCCCATGTTTAATTTCTCTGTAATTTGATTCCAAGAGTATGCCCAACAAGTCATCTTTACTCCTTTTTCCAGCTTTCATTGCGATTATTCGTTTGTCAATGATACTCCTTATCGTAGCCTTCACTTCTTGGTCAATTTTCTTTATCCTGTTGTTGTTTTTTGTTGGAAAAAAACTAATATTTGTGTTTGAATCATATTAGATTGTCTCTTGATCAAGACAAAAACGATGTAATAAAATATTTTTCGGAAAGATAAACACCTCGATCCAGGAATGTAGAGTGATTGTATAGCGTCTATGACTAACACTGCTAGTTCCCGTTGTAGTTCAAATATTCTCTTCCCTTCGTCAATGTTACTACCAAATGCTGTACGTGAAATAACATCACTGGATAACGTTTGCAGATAAGGCCACACATCCACTTCACATGAACTTTCCTTTTTTAACCTTTCTTCCCATTTGTTGATCATCTCAGCACAGCTTACATAGATTGCAGGCACCATATGCTATAAAAAATTATGTTATTCATGGTGCAATGGGAAAGACATAAGAAAAGGAAAACCAACCTTGAGCTTTTCGACATGAAAAGCAGGATTGACTATTTTTCTGTGTTTGCTCCATCGATCACCATCTGCATCTGTTAGACCTGCTCCTAGCGTCCTTATTAATGGGTTTCCTCCTCTTGGCTTTTGAAACTGATAGTTATTTGCCAAGACCTCCCTTACCATAGACGGATCAGTTATTTGCACCTTAGGTGTCGGCCCCATCCATGTGAAACAAATCTTGCCTAATTATACGATTAACCCAATAATCGGTTTCTATCACTTGGAAGAATCAAAATTCACAACTATGATATGTAACCAGTTAGATAGAGGAAAGAAAAGGCAAAAGACTTAATTACCATAAGCAGTGTGCGATTTGTGGTCAAAGGGCAAGACTCGGGGGACAATTTCATTATTTAGATTTATGGCTGTAGATTTCGCATCTCTTAACATGTTAACCACCTCTTTCAAGTCTCCGAACAAGAATTTATAGGAGCTTCCGTTCAGGCCTTGGTCTCTTAGACATTTTTCGTTCTTCTTTGGTTTCAGCCATACCCAATTCAGAAATCTCCAAGCATAACAAACCAGGATTATTAATGCTCCCATCCCACACCATACTGCACTTACTTCCATGATGGGGGAGAGTAGTTTGAATCTTGTGACATTGAGATGGAGGAAAAGGATAATTATTAATGGATGAATTTCCCTTTAACTCCCCTATACTTGTCAGTAACGTACGGTTATGCCTATGTGTTTGGTATTTTTTTCGTTTGAGCCCCAATATATTTAAAGACTAATGAGATACTCTTCACACCTGACCATATAATGGAAGACTGTATGATATTGGAAGGGGGTGTCTATTGCCTGGACACACTAGTCACTATATATCCCAAATATGGACCAGGAAACTAATGAAAGCATGCGACTCGAAGCTATCACTAGTACAAAAATGGGTTTCGCCGACCGAAAAAACTTGTCAACATGTCGGGTTTTTTTTTTTTTTTTTCATTCATTCAATGCGTAAGGAAACTTCGCGTCATTGATGATAAGTTATGGTGACTTTTAATTGTGGTTACTATAACCCGTTAAAAATCATTGTTGTATGTCAAACTCATCACGATATGATAGAGAGCTTTTGAAGTTGTATCTATTTTATTTTGATAACAATCACACATAATACACTTAATTATACTCACTTTTAATTTAGTTTATTATGACTATTGTGTTCCTATTGTGAAGGCAACCCAAAAGGACCATGCTCATAATCGGGTCAAGTACATACCAAAATAGTTATGGACTTAGACACTAATCCAACAGTCTCCCACTTGGATAAGTCTAATAACTATTTTGCATAACTTCAGAACCTGATCAGCAATCGTAGCTTTCAAAAACCGCTGTCAACTATGATCTTATCAGATACACGTGTCCTTTAGATAAGGGATCATATATTCCTCCATTCTCAAGATATCGTATAGACACAAGACATGAAATTCGATCATTCTCTCTATACTGTTTCCCGACTTCCGATTTATGACGATTGACAACAGACTACAATTGAACACATCAACTTAGTCCCGGTTTGGCCAAGCGCTTAGGGTCATCACTAAATCATCGAGGGCCCCACAGATATCGCTTTTATCCCACTTTGGGTAAAAGGAATGGATAAACTTCAACTTAAATGATCGCTTGCATTTACTGATCGAATCACACACAACAATAAGTTTTATAACACCAAGTTACTGGTGCGTTTTCTTATTATCAATATGCAACCGACCAACAAATAACAACTCACACGTCTCGGTTTCAAGAATATACAATGTTATCGTCTCACAATTACTCATGATAAAAAACCATGAAGTGATTCAAGTGAGCGTGGGTTTGATCCAATACTCTAATCTTATTAAAGCACTCATGAACTCTGCAGCAAACTTGTGCTATGTCTAAACATTTAGACAATCTACAGACAGATTCATGACAGTCTTCCTTCATACCTACTTCCAACATATGACCGACTGTGGATGTTTGAATAACCTAGTTATTCTGGAAGTCAAAATACGCAAAGTGAAACGCAATAATAATATTAATCCTATATGGCCCCAAAGCTTTTAAGCGTAAATAAAAACACTTTTATTTAAACACCATATTGATTACTCATTATTCATTGCTTACTGTTTCAGAAAATCAACTTATTACTCAAATTATAACCACAATCGTCCCATGCTCCAAGCATGCACACTTTGGTTTCCTATGGTCCATACTTTGTGAAATAGATCAATTTGAAAAACTTTTCCAATGAAACTCATTTCACAATCCCCAATCCTTATTATTAGTATAAGAATACCAAATTCTTACCACTTTTAGAATATGTCAGATCCTAACATTTTATGCAATGATTCTTTCGTAATGTCACAGCACGAAAGTCACCAAGACCCGGCTAATGAAATTACAAGGTATTCTATCGGAAATTGTTACAAGACAATTCCATAGACGTGAAGTCTCACATTCAAAGTACATTCCTTTGAACATCCTTCTCGCATAAAAGTTTCTAATCTAGACATATTTCTTAATATCCAACTCCCATTAATGGAAACATTTCCATATTTGCCATATGACAACTCATTCTTAATAGAATCTTATCTATTCATAATAATGTCAATATAGTCATCCAGTACTATACTTCCAACTACTCACAAGCGACAAATCCTTAGTGAACCTCAGATCGTCCTTTGATAGTTGTTTAATTATTTTAGTCAAAACCATTTCTAGTCCTTTTTCCCTCTTAATGCCCTAGGCATTTGGAAAATTTTAGAATGGTCAAATATTATAGCATATGCAATGGATCCTATACCCGAAGCGTATTGGACACGATGCATAATGTCTCACATAAAGACGTGATACTTTATCAGCCTTCTGCCATAATATTTTATGTGCCCTGTTCCCACAATTCGAACTATGAAGAGGGATGCCGTAATCATAATCGAATTTCGAGAATGCACTATGTATCCTTGACTAAATTTATTAACGTTTCTCGATCTAAGCTTTAGAATTTTGAAACGAAGTATAATATTCTCTCCCTTAATTATAGCAAAACAACTTTTCAACCCTTGCAACTTTGCAAAGTGAATCTTTGTTTTCTATAATTAATATTGATAACTTGCAATACTTACCATAATAATCATGCTCCCACTAACATGATGATTATTTTCTTACCAGCATAACACTTATGCTCCCACTAGCTTTGACATGTATTCAGAAAACAATTGAACTTCCAGAAAACAATGCTTATTGAATTCCTTAAGTTCATATTTCTAATACCTAATGCTTTGATAAGCCTTTATCTAAGCTTTTTAAGCTCATACACCTTTGCCTTAGATAACTCACATGTGTGTCTAAACAATTCAGAATTTATGTTACTAAGTCCCAAATGTTCAGACCAATTGCCAAATCTCACAATTTGAACTATGAAAAGGGATGCCGTAATCATAATCGAATTTGAGAATACAATTTTCACAATTGCTATCTTCTTAAAAACTCTCTTAGTGAAAGCATTTCCTCACAATCATTTTCATGAAGGAGGGAAACCTTATGACACTTAGATTTTATGATGTATGTGTTCCTATCCATGTGAATTTGTCAAAAACGAAAGTTTGCGACAAATCCAAAACCATATGGACTGAACTCATTCAATCTTGATTTCTTGCCTCATGGTAACACGAGTGCCCACCATGTCTTCCAAGTGGTTTAGCAACTCACCCTTACATATCAATATACTTTTCATTGATCAAGGTGCTTTGTCTTTATGCATTCAAATGAGAACTCATAGAACTCACATACATATTTAGCTTAATTGGAATGGCATAGAAACAAAATAATGTCAACACGATAGGTTATAAGCCTCAAGTCGTGCGCTAGTGATGATTAACTAGGTTTACTCTTGATTTGTTCTTGAAACTTTTCAAGACCATTAAGACTCCCACTGACTCCTTGACATATAAGGTTCTCTTGTCAAGAAACATTTCTTGACAAACAAATATTCAAGAGTTAGTGTAGCCTTTTGTCAAGTTTAATACTTCACACAATTGGTCCTGGTTGGTCTTTGTCTTATCCAAGACATCACAACTTACCAATTTCAAATGTGCAAGAACAAGAAAACTTTTCCAAATTCCACATTTGTCGAGTGTTATAAACCTACTTAAGACTTGTCACTCATGTCAGAATCTTGACTCTAAGACTTGATATTGGAACGAAGTATGATTGACTTATTGATTTAACTATTTCCATAATTCTCGATTCCTCTTCTTAGACATACAAATGCACTAAGACTCACTTAGAGGACCAATTGAGAAATAGTTCTTAATCATTAAGACTTATCATAAAACACAATAAAATGTACTCTCCCTTCTTCTTAGAATAGAGAAACTTTTATCTTTCTGCCTACTTGATTCTTCTTATTCGTTCTTCTATTGATTGAAACTCTTTCAATTAACTCAGAATTATACTTAATCTTATAAGTATAACCATATTTACTAAACTTTAGTAAATCATGACGAATATCTTTATCACTCTTGTGATGGACTTGATCAATGCACAACCTAGTGTACTTGATCTCCTAGTCCTTCTCTTGACACTTTGTCAAAGAATTAGTCTAATTTCCAAATATGAAATTTCTCATTCATCACGCAACCAAGTTGCATGACTCCAAGTTTCTGTCCAACTGAAACTTGGGCGATGAGAATCTTCCCTTATTTGGCAAATTCTCGACATTTCCACAAATTACATAATAAAGAATCCATTATTGCTAACAATAGAAACAATCAAACATCAATTTTTCATACACACCATTGAAAGGATAAATAAATAAGACAAAATCAAAATTTATTTTATTGCGGAAAAATTTGTCCTTACAATGCAATTCAACTGAAAAACTATGCTATTTCATATTTCTTATCATTCTATCCTAACTCTAGAGTAGCAGCTCAAAAATCTGATCCTCGAGTCCATGCGATCGAAATCCATTTCTTCATGATCAGATTCAGCACGCTTCTTCCTTAAGCTTCCTCTCTTTTCTTCGATCCTACAAAAACATCAAAATGTAATCTTATCACATCATGTATTAAGAATCAAAGAATAGGAACTTATAGAGTTAGTTAATAGATTTTACCTGAAGTAGAGCCATACGTCTTGACTCTCCCATCTCTTAGATCTCTCAGGTAAACAGGGCAGCTTCGTCTCCAATGCCCCTTCTTTTGGCAGTAGAAGCAGATGGACTCTTTTGGAATGGCACAAGGAACTATCTCAGAATTTACCTTTTCTGGATTTCCAATGTCACCATTTTCAATGTCCATTGAAGTTTGGGAGTTTGATTTGCCAGACAAATTTGCTCGATCAGCACGCCAAATCATTTCTGATTCAGCAGCTATAAACAAATAGGTCAAATCAATGAGGGTCACGTCATGGTCCATCATATAGTACTCTCTAACGAACTCACTATATGATTCATGAAGTGACTGAAGAACCCAGTCAACAACCAACATTTCTGAGATATCGACACCCATCATCCTTAAACTATCAATGTGTGACTTCATCTCTAAGATGTGTGCACACATAGGTTTCCCATCTTCGTGTTTACTTGCCAAAAGGGCTTGAGTGAGCTTGAACTTTTCAAGCCTTTGAACTTGTGGGTTA